AATACAAGTAATAAACCTGTAACGGTTACAGATATATCTGTTGAGATTTTACATGAGAAAAACATGTTCTTTCTACATAATTATTTGCTGTAATATTACAACGCAAATAATCTGTAACCATTACAGATATATCGTTTGGGGATTTTACATGAGAAAAACATGTTCTTTTTACATAATTATTTTGCTGTAATATTACACGCAATAATCTGTAACCATTACAGATATATCGTTTGGGAATTTACATGAGAAAAATATGTTCTACTTACATAACTATATGCTGTGATATTACAAGTAAAAGATCTGTAACCATTACAGGCAAAACTCTTGTAATGTTACAAAGAAAACACCTGTTTCTGTTACTCAAATAACCCATGGCATCCCAGTTTCCATGAGTTTTCTTAGTAACTTTACAGATTTTTTTTTACAGTGCAGAGCAATTCAAAATAACCTTCAAAGTTGCTCAATCTCAAACGCCCTGCGCATCGTCCATGTTATACTGAGTCAGTCTCTTTTTTGGATTTTAGCTGAATCCATTTTGCTAATAGATGCAAGCAACTCGGCTAGCAAAAAGGCTTACTCCAGTCTATAGTAACTTACAGAGTCAGGGAAGGAAATAAATCAACAATCAACGTCATTGCCAAAGCTTTCTCTAAATTTTTTAAAAACTCTATTCTTATATACATGTATCTAATCTGTATCCTTGTAAGAAATGATGCATAGCATAAATCAAATAATGAGAAAATGGTTTAATTAACCTTACAGTTTGATCTACAATGTTTGATATTTTGCTTTGGAAAGCAAGAAACTACAATCATTAGTGGCATGTTTATATTAGTAACTTTGCTGATGATATGTTTCTGCCAAATCTTCTAGCATTCATAACACATTCTTGCAACCTTGCAAGAAAAAATACCACTGTGCATGTGCACAGCTGCGAGATATTGTGATATATTTATCGTATAGCCCTGATTTACTCTTTAATAAACTTGAATTATTATAGCGATGTAAAAACATTAACATGGCTAATACAAGTTTGATGAAATAATGTAGAATATTGTCTACTTTTGTACATATCCAGGCGACTGAAATATGTTGCATTGAAACCATCTGTAATAATATTACATCATTATCTAAACGTATACCCAGATTTTATATTTCTACACTTTAAATTACTTTTAAGCCTTCTTTCTCTTTAAATTATCGCTTATTTAGTGAAACAAAATTTTTTAAATGTTGTACTTTAATTAGTGTTTATTTTACCGCAAAAGGACCAGCATATGTTTTCATCTGCTATGCCTGCTTCAATACGAGAGGGAAACTGTTCTCATTTTCTTTTTAAAGAAATTTTCAGTATTAGAAAGCAATGAAAAAAAATTACATCTTTAATACCAAACCTCCGTTCTACTACCTATTTAGTTTCCGTATTGAATGTAACGTTTTCATCTCAGATCTAACCACTTCCTGTCTCACTGTCAGAGCTAAAAGGCGTATACAATTCGAAAAGCCTGTAAGACCACAAAAAAAGACGAGTATAATTTCCTAGTTTAAAAGGAAGTATTTAGTTCGAAACGTTTCATTATTTCCTGCGATTTACATGTAAATTTTTTATCATTGTATTGTATTCAAGAGAAATCACCAAATCACAGGGGATTTCCCGCTTACTTCCGCTAACAGGAATAGAGACGAATTATTCCTATCTGTGACAATTTCTCTTTTTAATTGATTGCACGATAAGAAATTTGCGTTTGCAGTAAATAATATAACTCGTATATTTATTTGCTTGAGAAAACCAATTAAATTATTTAATTTGAGTTCTTTATGGTAGTGCGCCACAAATAGTTTTTTTTTTTTTTTTTTTCTCTCAACTCTGTTTCTCTATTCTCAATACATTTTTATTCCACTACACTGAATACCAAATTTCATTCCTCTAAAATAGAGGAAATTTATCAAAGTTCTTTTTTACACGTTTCTATATTATTGAATTTTACCACTCATTTTGATGCGGCAGATATATATGCGTTGTTGAGAGAATTAACTTGGACATAGTGTAAAGTTGGACGTAGTGATACCAAAGTTGGAAGACAACCTCTTTCAGCAGAAAACTTTGTAGGGCACCACTTCTTATTTAACTTAAAGTCGGTGCTTAAAGAGCCTGTCTGGCAACATATCGTTTCTATTACAGTAACTGCAGTTTAGAAGAAGGTTTTAACAACCTTTTCATTAACAGCTTTAAACTTAACAAATGCAAGATTTGTGCATACGGAACAATCTTTGTAATTTGCGAGATTTCAGCATATAACGTAAATTAAAATTCTAAATAATTTAATACCAGAGATTCACAAAGCAAACTAACAAGCGTTGGCTCAAACTAAACCAAACTGAAAATGCAAACTCTGCTAGCAAAAAGGCTAACGCTGGTATAAAGTAATTCTCAAAGCTGATCGAGGAAATATTAAAATGATCAGAGTTCAAGAGCTATTTGCTCACATACGCGTAGTTAATTTGCATCTTGGTAAGATATAACGAAGTAAGAGTGATAATTCAGACAAATTAATAAAGTAGTGGGTTAACTAACATAAACCTTACAATTTGTCAGGCCTTTACCATAAAAACCGTATCGGGAAAAGGAAATGAAGCCTTAATGCGGTGACTACCACAGTCTTCGTATTTAATCTCATGTGACTTGTGGAACAGGTTTTGTGCCTCCGTTTCAAGTCTCCAATGTCTTCGAACGCATATCAATGATGCTGGGGCTATGCCCGATTATATAATATACTAAGATAAAACAGTTTATTGTTAAGATATCCATCGTATCAGCAACAAACACATTAAGAATTTGTGAAATATATTAAAAAACAGTGAAATTGCTTTTGTTTCAATTTATTATAATTTGTTATTGGCTCCGTAGTTTATTTATTATTAAATTTTAAATTGTTTAACGAAATTATGAATAACTTTTTTTGTTCACAATAAGAACATTATCATTTATAATACAAATGAAACCATATCAGAATATTTTTCAGCAGCAAGACAAACAAGTAATAAAATATCCGTAAAAAGCGACAGTAAAATTTATATCGGTGGAACTTGCACGAATAAAGGTTTAGCTTTCATTATGTGCAGTTTTCAGTTACTTAATTTGAAAAAAGTAAGAAGTGAAGATTATTTCCCTTTCCCAGTTGTAACATGTGAATAATTGAAATTAAATCGTGCAAAATTGATCTAGAAATTATGCATCTCAAATAAAGGTCATCGTAAAATTTATATTAACTGTGGATATTGTTTATAAAACAAACTATAAAAAAGAGTTACAATTTTTGGATCAGAGTTCTAGCAATACCTCTGCAGAGTTTCACTTGAGCTGGTAATGCTAGTTAGTCCAACAACTATAATAGACATGAATCAAATTATCGCTATGTCTGAAACAACGACAAAGTTGCGAGAAAGCTAAAAATCGCATTTTTATTTTAAATAGAATTTAGAACGGAAAGGCATTTCTTGAACAACAATGTAAGCCATAACTCCTGATGATATAACTAAATAGTCATATTTAAGTTAAACGCGGAGCAGAAATTACACGATTAATTACTATACTAGAAGCTGGCTTCCTACCGCAGTGTGAGAATTTAAGTTTTGACAGCGAGAGAGCGCAAAGCCGAATAATTGAAACAAATCCAAAAACCTCATATTAAATACTGTCTACTCATTTGCATTCTATAGAGGCATTTGAAAAGAAATTATAGTAAGGGCTGAAATTATAAATAACTCGTTAATTAACACAAGATTCCAACAAAAATTTTAATGTGTTTGATTTCCTTCCTGGTCACATCAAATTTTTAAAATTATTCATAAACTTTATTTTGAAATTATTCATTCGTTCGGCAAGAGAAAAGTTTTAAATCAAGAAATCCTCACCCAAAATGAATTATATTTTTTAATTGTTAGTTTGTTAGTTAATATGTTAGTTTCTCATCTCCGTTTATATGTTACGAAAATTAATAATTAGGATTTCTATTTGTCTGGTCAGGATATTTAATATTTGATTTCTTCCTAAGTGAGTATATATTATCAAATTAATATTTACTGCAAATAACTTTAGTTAGTTTGTATATTTTAGTTTTATAACAACTATTTTTAATTTTGAAACCCTTTCCTTTCAATTCTTGTTCCCTACCAGAATGAGTTTTTAGAATCGCGTTGAATGCAAATGAGTTAAGAGTAGTATCTAAAGGAAGTTCAACTTACTTAGAAAGAGAGTTCTTAGGATTCACTAGAGGCGCGCGCTTGCCTTCTGGTTACTTCGTTCTTGAATCTATTACGCTCGATCATATTGTACGTGCCTGCTGAAAATCGTCGGCTAGGCTAATTTAAGGGCCAATTATATTAGGTGTTTGTGTCCATGTTCGTCTATTTAGTTTGTAGAGACATTAGGATTTTTTTGGAAGCGGACAAGAGGAAAAATATGCAACGCCTTCTCCGGGAATCCAACCGCGGACCTCTCAATAAAGCGCTGAGCGTGCAGACCACTACACCACGAAGGCTCGCTAACAAGGAGGGAGAAATACCTTATACGTTTAGTATTAGTCTATTTAGTTTAGTATTAGATTGTTTCTTATTTTCTTATCCTGATTTAAAAGTATGAGTGGAGGCCTTCTTGTAAGCCCGAGAAGGGGCCATCTGTTTTTATTTCTTTGAGTGACTAAAAGGATATTTTAACCGTTCTCACGTCTTTGTAGTAACGTTCGGAACTTAGCCATAATTCTCTACTTAGTTCACTAGGTTCCTCGACATTAGATCTAGAGAAAGTATCCAAGAACATTGCAAGTTGTACGTTGTGACATTAGGATGCAGATACGGCTTTGTTATTTAAAGTAAGATGTATTTCTATAATCATAGGTAGTTAATAAGTTATCAATAATCTGTACGTACTTTATTTAAATTACAAAATGTGAATCCATCTAAAACTGGTCAGCTAACTAGCAGAATTCTTTATTCCACAGATTTGGATTGGAACCCAGTGTTACTACATGCACTATTGACTGGCAACGTAATGATAGCAATTATAAGTCCTTCATTCTTGTTTATTTCGTACTGGGTTTCATGGTGCCTCTCGTTATCATAGCTGTGTGTTACTGCGCAATAGCGCGTCGGCTGAGACGAAAATCTGGAACCAAGCAAAGGGGAGTCATCTACGATCAATGGACTAATGAAAAGACTATCACATTAGTAAGTCTTGCCTCTTTATTATGTCTCCTTCGAAGTGATTATGCTTTTTATGCACACATTAATCTGAACATTATACAATATGAATATTTTAAACAATTGCTGAAATTCATCAGGTAAATTTTTTACAGAAAGTATTATGTCTAGACACATCAACTAATCAAACATGTTTTAAGGTCAGATTTGTAAAAGTAGCGTAATATTTCGGGAAACTATACTTTCATTATATACACAAGTGACAAAAGTCATGGGATACCTCCTAATATTTTGTCGGTCCTCCTTCTGCCCGGCGAAGTGCAGCAACTCGACTTGGCATGGACTCAACAAGTCGTTGGAAGTCCCCTGCAGGAATATTGAGCCATGCTGCCTCTATATACGTCCATAATTGTGAAAGTGTTGACGATGCAGGGTTTTGGGCACGAACTGACCTCTCGATGATGTCCCATAAATGTTCGATGGGATTCATGTCGGGGGATCTAGGTGGCTAGATCATTCGCTGGAATTGTCCAGAATGTTCTTCTAACCAATCGCGAACAATTGTGGCCCGGTGACATGGGGCATTGTCATCCATAAAACTCCCATCGTTGTTTGAGTACGTGAAGTCCATGAATGGCTGTAAGTGATCTCCAAGTAGCTGAAGGTATACATTTCCAGTCAATTATCGGTTCAGTTGCCGCAGAGGACCGAGTCCATGCCATGTAAAAACAGCCCAGACCATTATGGAACCACCACCAGCTTGAACAGTGCCTTGTTGACAACTTGAGTCCATGGCTTCGTGGGGTCTGCGCCACACTCGAACCCTACCATCAGCTCTTACCAACTGAAATCGTGACTCATCTGACCAAGCCACGGTTTTCCATTCGTTTAGGGACCAACCGATATGCTCACGAGCCTAAGAGAGTCGCTGCAGGCGATGTCGTGCTGTCAGTAAAGGCACTCAAGTCGGTCTTCTGCTGGCATAGCCCAAGGAAGACAAATTTCGCCGCACTGTCCTATCGGACACGTCCCTCGTACGTCCCACATTGATTTCTGCGGTTATTTGACGCAGTGTTGCTTGTCTGTAAACATTGACAACTCTACGCAGACGTCGCTGGTTTCGGTCGTCAAGTGCAGGTGGTCGGCTACTGCGCTGTCCATGGTGGGATGTTATGCCTGAAATTAGATACTTCGGCACACTCTTGACACTGTGGTTCTCGGAATGTTGAATTCCCTAACGATATCCGAAATGGAATGACCCATGAGTCTAGTTCAAACTACCATTCCGCGTTCAAAGTCTGTTAATTCTCGTCGTGCGGCCATAATCACGTCAAAGCCTCTTCACATGAATAACTTGAACACAAATGAAAGCCCTGCCAAAGCATTTCGCATTTTTCATTTTCTACGCGATACTACTGCCATCTGTATATTTGCATATTGCTATCCCATGACTTTTGTCACTTCAGTGTACAAGATGTTTCATGTACACTTATATTAAAGTTATCGTATATAATTTCTTAGATTAATGAAACTTATTGGAAAAAATAGAACAAACCACTGTCCATCTGCACAGGGTTTGTGAATTTCAGAGTTGCTTTCATACGATCTGTCTTCAGAATAGTAATTTAACTTGAAAGTTACATTTTTAGCGCATATTTAAGCGGAACATTCTACATAATCTTATGGAAGAATGTATTTTCATGGAAAAAAACTGTAGGTATAAGACATTTTGAAGTTCCGTTTTCAACCCTAAAATTCTCGTTCTTCTGTTTTCAGCCTTAGAGCTCTCGCTCATAATCTAAACATACATTTGTCAATTCTCTTTCCTTGTAATTATCAATTGGCTAAACCTGAGAAACGCTAATATATCGCATAGTCATCCCAGATTTGGTTCCTTATTGCCAAAGTAGCTTTATTATATTACCAAAAAATAGAGTGACTGAGAGAAATTTATCATGTTTTTTGTCACGCGTAAAGTAAATATGAACAAGTTATTTTCAGGAAGTCTTCCATAAAGAAACCCCTTGCTCATGCAGACAGTCTTCGAATGTTTTCCATAATTCATTAAGTAAACCAGCCAACGTCGCTTTTAAGAGATAAAGTGCTCCTGTAATTGAAATGAGTTTAACAAGGAAAAATAACTCGATGTAAAAAGATATAAAAATATAACTTTATAGTCTTTATCCTAAAGCAACTGCTGAACTTCACGCTAAAGTTCTTCTTGGAACGCTGTGTACGGAAACCAAAGACTTTAAACACTAAATTCTTCTCCCGTGTAGACTTATTGTCCGAATCAGTGAAACAACTATAGTTCATCTGAAGTTTATAGAATAAACTTTTAATTTTAATTTAAGAAACGTACAGCTCGTGACTTACAAAATTGATCGTGGGTGCTTGCAGCATTTAAGCTAACGTAAAATACTAAAGCAAAATTTAAGCAAATAATGTTGGAAAGTCTTAATGCAAGTGTTGCTCAAGGCTTCTAAATACGCAAGCAACACAGCTAGAAATAGCTTAAAACCAATTATAGCTAATTGTAACTGGGCGAGAAATAGCTCGATGGTTATCATCGGTGCTAAAGGCTGATTCCTAACTTCAACAAATCTGATCTTATATGCAGACTAACTAATTTGCATCTTGGTGGAAACCGATGAAAACAATAAGGGTAAAAATAATAAGGTAATGAATTAATAAATATTAAAACCTTACAATTTCAGAATTTAATGTTTACTACCGGCAGTACTTACTCAGAGTTTCAATGAAGAATCAAGTCAATACAAACTTAGCAGCAAGGATGTGGAGATTTTAAGAGCAGAATGTCCAGTAAGTGATTTCTCCCACGTGCAACAAAAAGTGATTGTCAGGAACATAAGCACTAATCTAGGTTTCCTATTAGTTCAGAACTTAAAAAATTCTTGTAACTAATGATTTAATGCTAAAAAATTAGTTATTATTTCTTAGAGAATTGCATTTTTCTTAAATTCGAATGCTTACATATACGTTTATTACAAAAAACATAAAAAGGGAAAAAGAAAATTTAAAAAGAAGAAAAAAAAATTTACGTTTAGTAACTGAACTTCGATTCGTTATATATATATATATATATATATATATATAACATTTTTTTTTTTTTTTTTTTTTTTTTTTTTTTGCGTAACGAGCCTTATTTTAAATTCAAAAACATAATACAAATAGGTATGCACTATAGATCAACAAAAATGTGATATGTATCATTTGTAAAATATTTTATTATCTGTGAGTATATACGTAATCACTGACAAGATATGCAGTCAGTGACAATATACGTAATATATCAATACGTAAAAAATAATATTTTAAATACAGTTTTAATTTACCTCATTGAAACTTTATGAAATTACAAAAATCGCTTCAATCTTTGAAAAGCTGTAAGAATATAATTCTTGTCTGTAACACTGACAGCAAAAGCAATAATTAATTGGGTAATTATTACACGTAATAAAAATTCACCTGTCATATCAAAAGAGAGTAAATTTAAAGTAAAGTAATAATTCACGAAATCTCCTTTCTTGCCTTATATTACGTATATAATTATCATTACGCACATAAAAGTATCAATTCAAGAATATATATCTCATAACATATCAAGCTAATTTAACTATGTGAGAAACAATGAAGATTTCAACAATCGACTTCAGGATAGCATTAATTGAACTTTTGAGAAAAAATAAGATTGTATATTTTGGGGACAAAGATTATTACTCATGAGCTTCATGAGCACAGACATTAGCGTTTTGTATTTAATGATCATTTGCAAAAATACTTTAACCCAAAAAAGAAGGAAAATTGTATTGTACTAATTTTTGTATTTGATAGGCTAGATTTTAATGAAAATTTTTAATCAAAGTATTACACCTTGACAGTATGTGCATTAGTCCTGACTTTTTTATGCGGAAAAAACTTAAGTTTTCGGAAATTTGATTTATTATCTGTCGTGCATTTCTTTTTAATCTATAAACATTAAATCTAAAAGCCATTATAATTTAGGAGTTTTACCCTAGGTGTAATTTCTATTAGTGAAAAAAATGTTTTCGTGATTTCCCTTATACAAATATAATGCAAATACTCGAAGATTATTAACTTTACGAAAGATATTTTCTACATTTTCTAGAAGTAACTGAATCCTGGAAGGACTACATGCTTTCAGTTGTCTTTTGTACCGGATCTTTGATAAGGCCAAATTCTAATCGAAAGTTTTCCACGAAGAGAACTCTTTCTAGACAAAGTACCGTAAAAGTTCTTCTTATTCCCTTTTATTCACAGGGAAATCTTATTTATCATGCCGCTTGCTTAAATCTTTAACGAAACCTTAAAGGATTAAGTAATAATAGGATCAATCAGTCTGTAAACACATTTAAAAAAATAAAATTAGAAAAATATTACGGACCTGTGTAATAGGATCAGTCAGTTTAAATATAAAGCTCCAAGACAGGCATAAAAAATCGAGCTAGGAAACTTAGCGACGTAAAAGTAAAGTTGCGACAATTAGTTTGGAAATGTAATTCTTCTTTTTTATATAATTATACCAATTAAAATGTCTCTTTTGTGTTTCAACAGTAGATCATACTTTACAGCACTTTTTTTAAATTTTTGCTGGAAGCACTAATTTTTCTTTGAACATCTTGTTTTTAATCCTTAGTTAAATTTGTTATTAATTGTTTTTTTTTTATTTTTCATTAATTGAAGCTATTCCCTTGAACTGGGAAACAACGTTTCTATCTATTTAAAAGAAATAGACAAAATAATTTCTATCAGCTAAATTTTTGTGCTCATTCTATTTTCAAGTGATTTAGATGAAGGTTAGTGTTGAAAGCTGAAATTTATTAGTAATGAAATTTTTAAAAAGATTATTTTAAATTTTAAAATCAAAATTTAAGGAGATAGAAAAATGATTATCGAAAATAATAATTAGACTTACTATTTCCAATAAAAATCCGGGTTATTGTGAAAGACTGTCCACGGAAAAAGGCTAGGCTTACATTGATTAC